TGCATGAGGCCATTTACTGAATATCAACTTTCTATTTTGAAATACAATTGAAATGAATTTTAAAATTCAGAAGAAAATATATATAAAATATAGTTTTGCACAGTGTATTACGTAATTATTAATGTTAATTCTCTCCATTCTTCAGTGACACTACACTCTTAGAATAAAAGGTTCGATATAGAAGCGCTACGTATTTTGAACCTTCTAAAAGGGTTCAATAATAAGAACCCTTTAGAGTTCTTTTAACCAGGAAAAAGGTTCTATATGGAACCTTTTGGGTTCACTCATTATCATTTTTTTTTGTCCTTTTCGTATTAAATATTTCATATTATTGACAAACATCAAGACCTTAAAATGTATTTATGAATGCATGTGAATGATCACAGAATTAAAGATATGGGGGTTAGAAAATGTATATATTTATATCATTTTATGCAGTTAATCAATATCACATAAAGAGTGCCATTTCAGTTTTTTCTCCTCCAAAAATCAGCATGATTAACAGTTTAATGAACAATAATTTAATTACAACTACAAAATGTGGCAGAATAATATAATATATGAATGAATAATGGCCTATGAAGAACCTTTGTGCCAAAAGGGTTCTTTGTTGTCATTAAATAACCTTTTTTTAGCATAAAAGGTTCTTTGGAGTTGAGTAAAGAACCCTATGCTTCATATAGAGAACCCCAAATGAACCTTTTTTTCTAAGAGTGTAGAGGCACGAAGTTTTTAAAAAAATCTTTTTAAAAATATTCTTGACATTCTTTAAAGGGGTCATGAACTGCTTTTGTTTTGTTCTTTTATAATGTTCTCTGGGATCCGCTTATAATAATGTGTCTTGTTTGAGTTTTTTAGTTTGTTGCGTTGTTTTTTCATTGATTGATTGAGTTGCATCACCTGTGTCTCGTTTGTTTTAGTAGTTTTCTTGTGTATTTGATTTCAGTGTTTTGTTCTGTTCTGTCTGATCTTGACTGTGTGTACTGGTTGTTCTGTTTGTATTTTTCTATACCAATCTATTTTTCTCAGACAGTCAAGCCAAGTCACATTTATTTATATAGCGCTTTTCACAATATAGATTGTATCAAAGCAGCTTCACAGTGATAACATGAAAGTAGTACAACACAGATCAATAATATTGTTAAATATTAAATATTAAATATCCCCAACTAAGCAAGCCAAAAGCAAGGCGACAGTGGCAAGGAACCAAAACTCCATCAGATTGGTTGGAGAAAAAACCTTGGGAGAACCCAGGCTCAGTCGGGGGCCAGTTCTCCTCTGGCTTACATTCATATTGTTTATATATAAATATTAAATATAAATATTGTTTATATAAAAAACGGCGCCATAACACATTGCCGGCCTTGAGTCATCTCTTCACAGGTAAAACAAAAAACAAAACAAAAATTCTGCACTAAATTATGATTTCCACATGCATATTCATTGCTCAATTTTTTCCACATGCATATTCATTGCTTCTACATGCATATTCATTACTCAAAATACTTAACCAATACAATGGTTGGACTGCGTAAATTGAGATTTAAGGCTGGAAAGCTGAAATTATTAAACACTAGGCATCATACACTTTTAGCTTGTTTTAGCTTTTAACTTTTAGACTTTCAGCTTGTTCTGAATGTAACAAACTCACTCACGAATAAAAACAACGTGTTTCTAAAATCGGCTTAAAATATCAAACATGTTTGATCTCCTCCAATAGAATCTGTGCTGTGTGTGTGTGTGTGTGTGTGTGTGTGTGTGTGTGTGTGTGTGTGTGTGTGTGTGTGTGTGTGTGTGTGTGTGTGTGTGTGTGTGTGTGTGTGTGTGTGTGTGTGTGTGTGTGTGTGTGTGTGTGTGTGTGTGTGTGTGTGTGTGTGTGTGTGTGTGTGTGTGTTTCCTGTGCAGGTAAGATTGCAGAGATCAGGAAACTGCTTCCTGAACTCCCATCACTATGTAATAGCCAGAGACTCTTACTGTGTTTTTCCCTACTTTAAACTTATATGTGTACTAAAATGTATGCCATAATGATTTTTTATTATTATTTGTATTATTTTTTGGAAAATAGAAGGGTTGCTGTGACAAAAACAACATACCTTTAATAGTATTTGCCAGACAACATTTTTATCTCAGTCTATAATAGTAACTATGTTTATAATAGACAGATAGATATTATAGACCATTTCACAAGATGTAAACAACACTGGTCCAGAAGCACTTCCTGTTTCAGTTTGTAACTGTTTTCTTTATTTCACATGTAAAGAAAACATCTTAAAGAGAAGAACATCTTTGTTTGACTTTTTGATTCAGTTTTAAATGTTCTGTTGGTTGTATTTTATCCCAGCTTTTATGTAGTCTTAAAAAACTGAAACAGAAAGTGCTTCTCGACCAGTGTTGGTTACATCTTGTGAAATGGTGATTCAAAGATTCAGACTTATTTTGAAAGGTGAGATTGAAGGTTGGCCTCTAGATGGCAGTAAATGATTAGAGATCAGTATCTGGTGTAAACATGTACCAGAATGGCATACTGTAATAATCATACTTATAACATTTTATACTTTATACTATATACTGTCCAATTGTGTGAATTTTCTGTGTGTATGAAATATACAGATGATCTACATACGTGTTTAATCCATAAGGTGTTCTTTCTAACATTTGAAATAATAATTTATTAGATTTATATAGCATGTCTTAGACTCAATGGACTATTTTTTTTAAATGTATGAGTGTGCCTTGAGTTTGGGAAAGGCGCTTTATGAATAAAACTATAATGACTAACTCACTTAGGATCTGGGTAATTGGTAAAATTTTACAATAATGTCCCATTAGTTAACTGTAGTTAGTGAAACGACTAATTTGAACTAACAAAGAGCAACTGTTCACTGTTAGTTCACTGTCGTCGTGCAGTCTCGTTATGATGGCATCATTCTGCACTCTCATCGGGTTTTGTCCAATCAAATGCTCTCTAGTAACAAGCTCAAATATTTGGAGAATCGTGTGTAAAGATGTTTCTCAGCAGCTTGTCACAATAGCCAGACAAAAAGGCCTCACCTGTGGATCTGGGTCAGGAAAAGGTCGTTCCCCCTGTCCTGCCACATTGATGACTGACACAGACCTGTCTACCTGTTTACAAAACTGCAGTCAATGGAAATCACTCCATCCAAGAGAAAAACTCGTCACCTTTTCATTTCCTGGACTCTAGCGGTTCTCTAATGTGTCTCCATCATTCAGCAGCTGATCAGTCATGTATAACTCTGTCTTAGGGGCTCATTCACACAGAACACCTTTTTGAGGTAAATAAATAAAAAATACAAGGTCAAACTCGAGACACTATGCATGTTTACATGGAGAAAACAATTTAAGAGCAGCAGAGTGGAAGAACAAATGCGTTCTGTGTGAACCGGCCCTTAAAGGGATAGTTCACTTTGAAACAAATGTTTGGTATGTTTTAGCTTACCTCAAGGGCATCCAAGATCTAGGTGTCTTTCAATTTTTGATATTTTTCAGTCAAACCGTTCTTGTCTGTCAGTCATATAATGGAGGCTAAGGGGGTCCTCCAAAAAGCATGCACAGAGAAGTCCAAATTAAACATGATTTAATGACTCGTAAATGTAAGTACACATTGATGGCCTAAGACACGAAACGAGCGGTTTGTGTGAGAAAACGAACAGTATTTATATCGTTTTTACCTCTTGTAATCATAGCCATGACAAAATGATCTGACAGCACGGGCGCTTCGGTCTGCGCATGCGCCGGAAGTGATCGCTTGCGCGCCTACGTCACTCTTTGTTTATACAGAGATTTCGGAAGTTGTACCTTTCACTTAACATATTTAGATATACGGGAAACCGCAATGGAAGACGATTTCGGTATATCTAAATATGTTTAGGAAAAGGTAAAACTTCCGAAATCTCCGAAATCTGATTCAGTTCGGTTCAGTTGGACATTGCACAACTGATTCAGATCACTTGGACGTGACTGATTACAAGAGGTAAAAACGATATAAATACTGTTCGTTTTCTCACACAAACCGCTTGTTTCGTGTCTTGGGCCATCAGTGTGTACTTACATTTACGAGTCATTAAATCATGTTTAATTTGGACTTCTCTGTGCATGCTTTTTGGTGGACCCACTTAGCCTCCAGTGTATGACTGACAGACAAGAACGGTTTGACTGAAAAATGTCAAAATTGAAACTACAGTGGAAACAAAGACACCTACATCTTGGATGCCCTTGAGGTAAGATAAAACATACCAAACATTAATGTCAAAGTGAACTATCCCTTTAAGGTCCAGTCACATGAGCAAAACTTGTCCTTTGTTTATTATCGACAGTGCAGCAATGACACTTTCTTTCTTTCTTCCCAGCGGCAGCAGTCAACAATTTGAACTTTTTCACCCTCACACGAAACTCCCGATCGCGACTATTTTGTCGCCCAATATTGATGTTACCACAGTCCCATAACTACCATCATTAATCTTCTACCAATGCTTTCACACTTTTTTCCTGAAAGTTTGAGTTATTATACAAGTGTGAAGTTATAAACACAACGAGGCTTCACCTGTTCGGCCTGATGACGTTTAATATTCCTGACAGAGTTCAGTTTAGACACTTGTTAGCAATCACCTTTAACGAGACTTCAAGTAAGAGCTTTTAAAAAGGTGATTTTAGTGACGTATTTCATGTTGCAGAATAAGACTTGGAAATATTTTGAGCCTGTGGTACCCACAGACCTTATGTCAGGCATTTAACCAAAACCCCATCGAAAAAAAACATAGATTTCAGGGCGTTGAAACCAGTAGTGCTAACTCGTTTCTGGGTTTTGGCCTACAACAATATGCCATCATTGCAGCACTCTATCGAAATGAATGGATTTGATTTCTCCTGTGAAAGTTCACCAGTGTCAGTGTTAGTGTTTAATGTCAATCTGTGCTAGTGTCTGCTGCTGCAGTGCAAATCACCTGCTCGTCTGATGTGTTTTCCTTGTTTTCTCCCACCAGGCCGATGTTGCAGAGGAAGGAGTCGTTTTCTCTCCTCTCTACATCAGAGAAGTGGCTCTTCAGAGGGGTGAGTTCAGAATATATGCTGGGTTTTTTTTGCGGTCCATTAACAGGAAGAGAGTTCTTGCCTTTTTGAAATCAATGGATTTGCTTGAACATAGTGTAGTGTTTTCCAAACGATCCAAAATCACATCCAAAATGTGGGCTGTTGGCATAAACCACGGCCAGCGAGGGAAAACCGTTAATCAGTAGTGTTTCCCAACCCTGTTTCTGGAGGCACACTAAGGCTACGTCCACATTAATCCGGATACATTTGAAAACGGGGTTTTCGTTTAAAAACGCTCTCCGTCCACACTAGCGTTTTCAGGTGTTTTCCGACGTTTCAGTGTGGATGAGAAACTTCTAAATTCACTTTACTGCGCATGCGTGAAACTTCACAAAATCTCACTGAGATGATACAGATGGGGAAATAAATAATAATGTCATCGCACAATAACAGAATAATTTTATTTAGAAAAATATCTCACCATCACGGATGCGTCCAGGTCGCATTCAGTCACCATATGTTTGGTCTAAAACGCAACTGCTCTCCTGTTTTGCCGCAGGACAGCAAATGTGAGTAGACTACATTATCTGTTATCTTTGCAGTACTGTGCTATGAAGAATAACACATATTAAGTAACACAGAAAGTAACATATTTTAGCAATAGTGTAAAAATGAATAACACATAACAGGCACAATACCGATAAACATGAATATCTATTGGTACTACATGGATCACATGACTAAACTTACGTCATCGTTTTTAAATACCTCCGGTTTCACTGTCCACACTACAACGCGAAAACGGCGTTTTCAAATTTTTCCGGAGAGCGTTTTCCAAACGATACGTTTTTGTTGACTTAAAACGGCGTCTCAGTGTGGACGGAAGGCCAAAACGGAGAGAAAAATATACGTTTTCGTATTATTTATACGTATTAGTGTGGACATGGCCTAACAGTACACATTTTGATCGTCTCCCTTATCACATTAATTTCATGCCTTGGAGTCTCTTCTAATGATCTGATGAGTTGAGTCAGGTATGTTTGATTAGGAAGAGTTGGATGATTTGTAAAAGTGCGTTCCGATTGACAGGATCACAGTGAGTGTTCACATGGGATATATCCGTTAAAGTGGAATTCACGGCCAGTAACCGCTTGTTTGGAAATCCCTACATCGTCATCAAAGAAGGGCAAAGTAAAAAACACACAGATCGCACAGATCACAATATAGCATAAATATTGAAATTTTAATTCATATAATAGGCCTATACATATAAAAACACACACACATTATGTAAGTGTGTTTTTAAATGGTTAGAAAACAAATATGCCCAGTTAAATGTAAAAAAAAACTAGTAAAATAAAATTACTAGTTTTATTACCCATAGAACTAGTACTAATCATTTAATTTTCAACATTATATCTTAGTCTGAGTGGTGGCTGACATATCTCCTTTTCTCTTACTTCATGATGATGTCTTTTGTGTAGCAATGTGAGTAAAGTCACAACACCAACCAAATGGACCAATGAGTATATGACAGAATGCAAGAACCAAAACAGATAACAGATAACTTCATTTCCTCATTTCCTGTGACTTGCCTTCCTAACCAGTAAAGCTTCCTGGGTAAAAAGGCTTTATCTGAAAGTTCATGGAAAAGTTGAACAGCTAGACCAGCACCAAACCAAATCACAGAAGAGCATACTTCAACAAACCTCCATGAGAAATTCAGACGGGCTTTTCCAACGATGTGCTCTTCAAAAATACAGTAGTTTCCCAAAGCTGTGTTTGAGTGTTTGACAGTGTTAGGCTGCTCATAAATGGCCAACAAATAACATAAATTCTGATCATGTCACTATATCAAAGTTCCTGGGACGTCTCTTTTTCCTGGTAGAATAAATGTATTAATGAAAAAAAAACTTTTGAAAAGGCAGTGTATGTTAATAATATATATATATATATTTTAAAAAAATACATACATAAAATAAAAAAATAAAATATATATATATATATATATAATAAATAATATAAAGCTGTGTTTGAGTGTTTGACATTGTTAGGCTGCTCATAAATGGACAACAAATAACATAAATTCTGATCATGTCACTATATCAAGGTTCCTGGGACATCACTTTTTCCTTGTAGAATAAATGTATTAATGAAAAAAAAAACTTTTGAAAAGGCAGTGTATGTTAATAATATATATATATATATATTAAAAAAATAAATACATAAAATAAAAAAAATAAAAATATATATATATATATATATATATATATAATAAATAATATAAAGCTGTGTTTGAGTGTTTGACAGTGTTAGGCTGCTCATAAATGGACAACAAATAACATAAATTCTGATCATGTCACTATATCAAGGTTCCTGGGACGTCACTTTTTCCTTGTAGAATAAATGTATTAATGAAAAAAAAAAACTTTTGAAAAGGCAGTGTATGTTAATAATATATATATATATATTTTAAAAAAATAAATACATAATATATATATATATATATATATATATATATATATATATATATAAAGCTGTGTTTGAGTGTTTGACAGTGTTAGGCTGCTCATAAATGGCCAACAAATAACATAAATTCTGATCATGTCACTATATCAAGGTTTTATGGGACGTCTGATAGTTTTGGGAACACACTCCCCTTAGAATGCCTCTGTTGGCCTTCCCTTGATCTGCAGGCGTGAGACAGTATCATTTCAGCCGTATCCAAGGCTCAGCCGTATCATTTCAGACGACTTCTGTATAAAACCACAAGGTCAGCAATGAATTCTGCCAGTGTGATGAAGAAATGCTGGGTTTATGACTCCATATCACTTTAGATAATAACCATATAAAATGTTCTTGCAATTTTGACCTACATGTGATGTTCATAAAAGACCTTAGGTCACATTAACACATCAGCTTCATTCATTTCTGATTCCAGATTAGAGTTTAGAAGTGAATTCATCTTCTCTGCGATGAATCTGTTCTCTCTGTCAACACAAATAAACCTGCAGGAAAGACAGAAATATGATCGATGATTACAGAGAAATCAAATGATTTTTGTTGAAAATATTCTGAACAAAGATCCCAGTAAAAGATCTCCATTAGATTTTCAAGTTAGATCTCAACATTAATGTCTTAAACTGTGCTGCTCATTTGGACAAATGTCAGAAATCTCAATATTAACAATGTTGAGACCACGTTTTAAAGGTCATGTGAACAGCCTCACCGAAAATCATAAATGTACTGTCAATATTCACAATTAACCAACACCAATTATTTCCCATTTGAAAAGAAACTCCCAAAATCTCTCAACTACAGTACACCACTGCAGTGACATGTGGTGTGAAGTCGTCATGCACATGATAACTCCGGCATCAGACACACAGCACACTTCTGCAGCAGGAAATGCTTAAAGGAAGGCAGTTTGTTTCCAGGAAGTGTGTTTAGCAGGGATTTTCTGGCTTCCTGTTGTTAACTGCTGTACACAGATCTCCTAAACTTTGGCTCCACAAAGTCAATATACTATAGTCCAAAATGTGCACTGTGTATAATTCTTAAATATACACATATGCATGTGTATGTAAGAAAAATGTGTTTTTATGTATAAAATATTTATATAACATAAATTATGTATAAATATATACATGCAAATATTTCTTATTTATACTTATATTTTTTATATTTCTATATTTTATATATTATTTATACTGCTTATTTATACTTATTTAATATTTATATGTACTAAATAATTATACACAGTACACACACATTTATTATGTAAACACAAACTTTTATTTTGGATGCGATTAATTGCACTAAAGTAAATATATTTTTATGCTTACCCTGTATCATGCTTCCACAAAAATATGATGCAGCAGCGCAACTGTTTTCAACATTGATAATAATCATAAATGTTTCTTGAGCATCAGATCCTCATATTAGAGTGATTTCTGGAGGATCATGTGACACTGAAGACTGGAGTAATGATGCTTTAATCACAGGAATTACATATACGGTATTCATATTACATATATAGTGAACATTTTATATTCACATAGAAAACGGTTATTTTCAACTGTAAAAATAGTTCACAATATTACAGTTTCTGGGTAGTGCACTCTAAAAAAATGATATGTTGGATTTACTTAAAATATATATGCACCATTTTTGCATCATACTTTTTAAGTAATCCCAACTTCCCAACAATCATTTTACTTAAAATTAACAATAAAATATTAGGGCTGGGTAATAAATATCGATTTCTCGATATTAATCGATTCTCAATTTTACGAACCGATATCGATTGTTAAATCTCAAGAATCGATTAGTCATCCTGTTTCATTTGAATGAATGGATCATTGTCGCGGCTGCGCGCATCCAAAAAAATCGCAATAATCTTTGTCCTTTGTTACTATTGATATGAAACAAAGTCTCAATTTTCAAATTACGTCCATTTTCTTTAGAAATTCAAAAACATAATAGCGTTTTGGCGCTGTGGCGTGAGATCGTGAGCATTTTGCTATAAACCATATTATGTGCATTATAATCTTAATGTTCTTCAATATTTAATGCATATTTGAATAAATGTTTTTTTTCAAGTTTTTATGACATCCACCATTTAAATGTTTATATTTCATATAATCTTATCTTATAAAAATAAATAAAAGTGTATTTTAAGAGTTTTTTTAATGGCTACAAAACAGTTCATTATTACCTTCATATTAGGCTAATGAAGCCTATAGGCTACAACTAGACTCCCATAGTTTACAGCATTAGTTAAGAGATTTGATTCCCTTGAGAAAAATGGCCATTTATTGTAACTGATATCCAAAATAATCAATATTGAATCGAATCGATTTGAAATCGAATCGAATTGCAAGCTTTTGAGTCGAAATCGAATCGAATTGTGAAATTTGTCTCAATACCCAGCCCTATAAAATATGTATTTGTTATATGTACTTAAATATTTGAGTTTACGCAACATTATTATAAATATATGTAATGTGATGCATTTATTTTTAAGTAAAGAATGTTAAAGAAAGTAATTCATCGAATTACTTTTATAAGTAATGTTTGTTCAGCCAACGAATCTTTTTAAAGAGTGTAGGATGAACCCCTGCTGCGAAATTTCATTATTCAGTTTTTAATAATGTACCCTTATAATTGTAATACTTGTACACCTCTCTAGTGTAAAGTGTTGTGTGTATTCCTCCCCGTTCGCCTCACTGACGCCAGGGCCTCAGACACACACCAGCAGAGATCCCGTCTGAGAGGCCGGCCCGATATAGCTCCGACACACTTCCTCCAGAACATCCTGTTTGCTGGTCACACACACACACATGGCTGAGGGTTAGACAGGTGACAGAGGTTGTGAAGGTGTCTCGGGGGGTGTTGTGCGTCTGAGGTCCAGTGCTGTGAAGCCCGATGATGGGGTGCTGCCTTTTCATCCATCAGAAGGTGAGCGCACATGTTATGATATCTGACTGGTGTCTTGGCACCAGCACAGTCTGAAACACTGTTGTCTTGTGTAACTGGCTGGGGTCTTTCTCATAGGAGGAACATCTAAATCTAGGTTTGCTCTCCACTTCATCTCTACGAGAGATATTGGCGATGTCATTCGACATTTGTTACTTTCTAAAGAACCATTTTTGGTTCCCCAAAGAACCTTTCAGTGAACAGTTCCTAAAAGAACCATTTATATTAGTGTGAAGAACCTTTTTGATCAGTCTTCTGCAGTTGTGCGCCTGAGTATCTTTACGTCTTTGAGTTTCTCTCTAAATCGTCTTGTTATAATTGTTTTAAGGGATGAATTGTTGTGAATGAGAGATGAAGTTGGGTTTTTATGGTTGTTAGGTTACAGTAGTCTTGAAATGTGAAAGTGACTGTGATTGTGTTGTGCATTATTTCCAGATGCGCTGTAACATTCTCATTGTGTTTGCTGCGTTCAGAAATTGTTTGTGATAAATTAGGTGATTTATTAATTGTTTTTCGTTGGCATAATGATGACTTTCTTTGTCATTGAGTACATTTGGTTTAGCGAAGAAAAAAAATGGATCATCCAAATGTGTTTAATGACTGCTGACCTTTGTAACATTGACACTGTTAGTGAGATAAATTTAATGAAGTAAATTGAGCTGAATAATTATACTATTGTCTTTTTATTGCTGCTTTACAACTGAAACCGTTAATACTGTTATTTTCCTGTTTATTCCTGTGATCAAAGCTGAATTTCCAGCATCATTACTCCAGTGTTCACTCTTCAGTGTCACATCATCCTTTAGAAATCACTCTAATATGATGATTTCATCATCAAGAAATGTCTGATTATTATAAATGTGTTCAGAACTGGAAACTGTGATACGTGTGCTTACTTTCAAGATACCCTCATGTTGTCCCAAACCCATCTGATATTTTGTCTCTGCCATACTGTAGGTCGAAATGTAAAAAAAATAATAATAATAATATAACTTTTCATCTTGCAAATTCAATGAATGGGAGAACCAAAAAAACACCACAAAAGTGGCATTAATCTGCCATAAAAGTGTGCTTTATTCTAAGTGTTCAGTCTGTTCCGTGTGTGAGGATCGGTAAAGGGAAGGAGAGATGGATCTAATCTAACTGCAAGCAATTTATTTTTAATAAATGCAAACAAACCAAAACACTAGAAAGACTTTTTTAAACCAGATAAACCAATTCATGTTATGTTATTATGTGTATACTTTTCTGGTCCTTTTTAATAATTCCATAGTTTCCATTACAGTACATTATCTTACAGCGACCAGTACATCATTAAAATGCAAAATTCACATAATAAATTAATTAAAACAAGTATTAAACAACACAAGACAGAATTTTAAAAAATCCAAGTTCCTGTTTTTATTTTGTTACATACTATTTTAAAATATTAGTCTGTATACAAAATGTAATGCAGCAGTATTCTGAAGATACAGACACCTGAAATGTTGTCTTCAAATAAGAAACCTGAATCTAATTGCCTGGCACTGGTGGGAACACGTACGGCGGGTGTTATCCACGGGTCATGAGTAACACACCTCGTTCGTCCTCGTGTAGACGTTCACTCGCATTGTGCTGGTTGTCATGGAGAATAAACAGTAATGGAGCAACAATAACAAAGCTGGCAATAGACTTGACCATACAAAAAACCGATAGCATGATTTATATAAACATTTTATTGATTATGTTTGACAACAATAGGTCTAGAACTGGTCAGATGCTTTTAAAGGGGACATATCATGAAAATCGGACTTGCTATAATCACGTCCCCGGTGCTTCTACCAACCCAGAAAACATGAAAAGTGAAACCTAGTAACTTTGTTTTGGTCAGCCTTTTCTCTGCATTAGATTTCGCTCCCCTTCTGACTCAGGAAGAGGATCTTATTATAATATTACCGGCCCTAATCTGCACGTTTACTCTCACAACACCGCCATTTGGATTTGCAAGTGACAACAGAATAACCAATTTTAAGGCTCCTCCCACTGTCATCTCCTCTCGGGCTCATCCCACTGTCATCTCCTCTCAGACTCATGCCACTGTCATCTCCTTTCAGGCTCCTCCCACTGTCATCTCCTTTTAGGCTCCTCCCACTGTCATCTCCTCTCGGGTTCCTCCCACTGTCATCTCCTTTCAGGTTCCTCCCACTGTCATCTCCTTTCAGGCTCCTCCCACTGTCATCTCCTCTCAGGCTCCTCCCACTGTCATCTCCTTTCAGGCTCCTCCCACTGTCATCTCCTCTCAGGCTCCTCCCACTGTCATCTCCTTTCAGGCTCCTCCCACTGTCATCTCCTCTCAGGCTCCTCCCACTGTCATCTCCTCTCAGACTCCTGCCACTGTCATCTCCTTTCAGGCTCCTCCCACTGTCATCTCCTCTCAGGCTCCTCCCACTGTCATCTCCTTTCAGGCTCCTCCCACTGTCATCTCCTCTCAGGCTCCTGCCACTGTCATCTCCTTTCAGGTTCCTCCCACTGTCATCTCCTTTCAGGCTCCTCCCACTGTCATCTCCTCTCAGGCTCCTCCCACTGTCATCTCCTCTCAGGCTCCTCCCACTGTCATCTCCTTTCAGGCTCCTCCCACTGTCATCTCCTTTCAGGCTTCTCCCACTGTCATCTCCTCTCAGACTCCTCCCACTGTCATCTCCTCTCAGGCTCCTCCCACTGTCATCTCCTCTCAGGCTCCTACTAAGCCCCTGCTGCCCTCATCTATTGGAGTTGTTGTTGTTGTGTTAACGCTCCTTTTTGATGGAGCGTTAATATCACGTTTGGTCTTTGTTTCTGTTGGACTTTCAGTTGGTTTGTCTCTGTTTCCTTGTTTGCATTAGTTGGTTGTCCATTGCTGAAGTAACACCTGTTTCTTGTTTCTTTGATTGGTTAGAGCTGGCATATTGAGGATATTTTCTGTCAGTCTTTGTTCTGTCCTAATCTCATTTCAGTTGGTTGTTCTGTTCAAGTGTTTTGATTCTGAGTTTCCTGAAATCCTTAGTTATTTTTAAGTGCACAAATACAAATTACTTTTATAGATTACTTTTATAAATTAGATTTCATCTTCTGTGTCGACCAGCGACAGCCACCATCAGTGTCATTTATTTCATTTTTTAAATTAAGATTGAAAATCATAGTTGCTGGTTTAAACCTGTTTTGTTCAGTTTGTCTAAAAACAAATAGAAAAAAATAAACTATTTTGTTTGAATTGTTGAACATTTTTCCTTATGTTTAATAAAAATGTATTAACTGAGTGCTGTATGGTCTTTAAAACAAATATTTTTACTTTACTTTTTATTTGTTGTTTGGGAAAATAAGTATTTTTATGAATATTAAAGCAAAATGAGAAAAAGTAATATACTTGTCTGTAACCGATTAGAGTATTTGTTCAGTGTATGCGCACCCCATTTATTCCTTTTTTTTATTTTTATTTTTATGTATGATTTATTTATTGATTTTTTTCACAACAACAAGGAAAAACACTCAAATAATTAAATTAATAATTAAATTAATTACATTACACAAAAATTAAACAAATAAAGATAAATACAAAAACACCAACACAAAGTCCTTCATCCCAGTAATAGGTTTAGTACAGTATATAATATATTATAACAGAACTGTATGTAATAATACAGACATAGGCCAAAGTGAGCCTTAACTAGGTCCAGTAAGTAAAGTCGAGTAACCCAAAGACTCACCCCATTTATTCCTGACATATTTTTCAAATGCTGCAAATATATTTAATTTCAACATGGTGAACATATTGTGTTGTCGTGTGATAGATTTCTATATGTAACTTCTGCATGACAGTTTCAACTAAATAAAATCAGTAGTATCTAAATCACGCTGGTGTTCTGAAACACAACTTGTGTTTGTTAGTGATACTAGTGCACTGAACTGATCATCACTTGTGTCTTTACAGAAGAAGAGGAAGCAGAGGAAGAGAGATGTGGACTCACTCAGTCTCTGCAGTTTGGACATCAATGTGAGTTACTTTAATGTGTATTAACAATTATAATCATAAAAACATCAATCACTGCAGGGATTACACTGTAAAAAATAATCCTGAAAAAAAAAACGGTAAACTACTGGCAGCTGTGGTTGCCAGCATCTTACTGAAAAAATACGGTGTGTTACTGTTTTTGAAATTAACAGCTAAATACCGTCTTGTCAGCCACAGTATAAAACTTTAATCTATCAGCTATATGCTGTAACACAAAAACAATAACACACCGTATAGTTACGGGATGATGCTGGCAACCACAGCTGCCAGTAGTTTACCGTTTTATTACAGGATTATTTTTTTACAGTGATATGTGTAGTTTTAGTCCTTCTGGTTCTATCGTCCTGAATTGAATGGGTTTTTGGTTCCATGCCTGAAATAAGATTCTCAACATATTTTCACATTATATTCTACAACATAAAATGCATCAGTAAAACCCCATTTACAAGAATCATAAGCTTTGTTGGTCGTAGAGCTTATTTTCTGCAATGATGAAAATAAAAAAATCCTACAGGATTTCTGTGGAAAGAACCAGGGTGATGCGAACTTCTGCTTTGGCCTACACAAACATCTCGGGGTTGAAAACGGGGTTCAAATTCTTCTGACTGACTCTTTTGTGTCACTGTAATATTACATGGAAACATCGCAGCTTCTGCTGAGGGATTATCTGCCAAAGTCTGTTTGTGATAATGAGCCAAAGGCCATCAGTGCAACTGAAATGAAAAACATTAATCACAAAAGCTCTTTGCATCGCTGCATGGTAGCCTATGTGAAGAGGAAAATCATATTTTTTAAAAGGTCAGCCTGCGTCTCGCTTCCTAAAGCACATGAACAAAAAGGCATGTAATTACAAGGCATTACAAGGTATGATTGCATATTTGTGGTGGAATGGTGCTGTGTGTAGAGCTCCTGCGTGCCAGTGAGGAATACAGCGTCGCTGTCAGTGATCTGACTCAAGATGAGAGCACACATCTCTACATCTTTTATATTTATATATTTTATTTATTTTTCACAGTAACTCAGTACATTTTACTTCAACAAAAGCAGTTGTTGGGGTATGAATAGTATAGACAGAAGCAGTATAAATTATGCAGTACATCACACATTACAATTGCAACTACTACTATAGCACGCCATAGTTCAATGTAACTTTCCCAACAACTGATCAGGAAAACAGATATATGCTATTGTGAAAATGGATCCGCAAGAAGCAATAGCTTATAAATAGGGGTCCATCCCACCACCAACACCTCCCCACCCACCTAACATTGGTGACCAGAGCGGACCGACTTAGATGCCATTAGCAAATAAACTTTAAATTATGAGTATTTGGAATACAGTTACTTTCAAGAGATAAAAACAGACAGTCATTGTACCTTTGTTCTTCAAATTAAATTTATCCTCATACCAAAGGAGAGGGGTTCCCTCAGTACCCTCAATTATATCTCTCCAGTAATTGTTGCTTTAATTTCTTTTTGAATATTGCTAAAGAGGCAGATTGTTTGTAACATACACTAAACCTAGCCCTTGTTAGGTTCCTGCATTTCCCTTTCAAGAGCAGCTTATGTCTAGTGTTCTGTTTGTGTGAAGATGTATATAATGGGATGAGCTCACATAATCCAGTATTTAACCTGTTGACAACATTGTACATTATGCATGCATTATGATAATAGTTACGTTCAGGAAGCTTTAGTAGGCCATATCTATGGAAGAGAGCATTCGTATGTGAGTTGTATGTAGACCATGTAATAGCTCTAATGGCTTTCTTTTGTAATATGAGGAGTTTCACAGTATAAGTAGGGCAATTATTATTCCAAATAATATTACAATAAATCAAGTGAGGCTCAAACAAAGTCCTATATAAAGACAAGAGTACATCCAATGGGAGCATATGTCTTATTTTGAAGAACAGACCGACAATTTTAGATAGTTTTCTAACCAATTCATTAATATGTTCCTTGAAGTTTATGAATTGATCTATATGTAATCCAAGAAATTTGATTGCGTCCACTCTTCGAATAGCTCTACCATCTATAATTAAATTAATGTCACAATCGTTATACATCTGGATACCGGATCGAAAAACAATATAAAAAGTTTTACTAGTGTTCAGCGATAGTTTGTTACATTTAAACCAGATATCTATTTCTGTTAATCTGTCATTTAGGAGTTTTTCAAGATGATTTAAGTGTTTGTGAGACACAAACAGATTTGTATCATCAGCAAAGAGTATTTTATGAACGTCACTAGAACAATATACAAAATCATTAATGTAAACAAGGAACAATAGAGGCCCCAGTATAGATCCCTGAGTGCCTTGATCCCTGAGTGCCCTGAGTGCCCCAGTATAGATCCCTGAGTGATCATCTTGTGCCAGTACTGTTGTGATACGACACACTCTTCACTGACACTGACGGGTGTTTATTTCTGTGTAACTCTGCATGGAACAGCCTTTCAGAAATGTAGGAACAAGTGTTAACGGGTTTTGCTTTAATGACTGTAACTCCCACTATCAGAGTTGTTGTTTTTGAATATACTATTGCTCTATAATACTTATTTTTTCTCTCTCCTGGTTGGTTTGTTTAGTTTGTTTGGGTGGCACATCTGTATCATGATCGTACGAGAAACTGTCCAGCCGTATTTTTAAAGGGTTAGTTCACCCAAAAATGAAAATTGCATCAGTATTTACTCACCCTCATGTTGTTCCAAATCTCTATGTGTTTATTTGTTCTGCTGAACACAAAGGAAGATATTTGGAAGAATGTTTTAATCAAACAGATCTCATTCCCCATTGACTACCATAGTATGTATTTTTTCCTATGGAAGTCAATGGGGAATGAGATCTGTTTGAGTAAAACATTCTTCCAAATATCTTCCTTTGTGTTCAGCAGAACAAATAAACACATAGAGGTTTGGAACAACATGAGGGTGAGTAAATACTGACACAATTTTCATTTTTGGGTGAACTAACACTTTAAGACTAATAGTTTAGTGCAGTGGTTCCCAACCTTTTTTTGTCTGTGACCCCCCTTTTTCCCAAGAAAATATTTTAGGGCCCCCCTTCACATTTAATGATATTATCGCTCTTGTAAGCTTGCAGCAAGGATAACAAAATGTGTGTTTTTTTATTTAAAAAAAACGGTATGTTTATGCACAAATAAAAGCCTATAATATTGAAAATACAATGACTAAAACATCAGTAGGCCCTTTGTAATTTAACAACGTAAGCCTAGGAGAAGCCTATTAATTGGCCATTTTTGAAATGCAAAAATAAAAATATTCACACTGGTGTTTAGGTAAAAAAAAAAAGAATATCTGCTATTAAATGACTGTTGTCTGGGGCCTCAATACTTGCATGTTATCTGTGAGGCTTTATCAATGTGAGGCTTTATTTTTACACTTTTGGCACTATAGCAAGCGATAATAAACTTGCATTTATTAACAGAATAATGCGTCTTTCGGAAAGAACAGTGTAGCCAGAACTACTTCTCTCTGTGTACGTCTATGACGAGTCACGCAGGTACTGTAGTACTACGCAGCGGCAGCGATCCGAACCAGTGTAAAATAGTCCCAATGTAAACACTTATTATAGGTGTACCATTGTGGTTCAGGATAAGACAAAAACACGGATTGGAAAATGGATTCATGATGAACTCACTCATTAAATACATTTTGTAAATTTTGAACAGAAAAAAGTTAAGGACTTTTATTTAATGCTCATCGCTCAAACTTTCAAAATATGCCGCGACCCCCCCACAGAGCTCGCTGAGGCGCTCTTGTGGGCCGCGACCCACCTGTTGGGAACCGATGGTTTAGTGCACATGAACTAGAACAGGGTTTATCTGAGCTATTTGTTAGATTCTCCAGGCACATTTTTTCTTTCAGTGGCATTTTTAATGGCAACATCTGTTTTACAGAAAATATAGTCCAACACTCTGACACACCTAACAGTGTCTGTCAGCATTTTTTTTTTAACTCGAAGATTATAATTTGATAGGAATTTAGACGTCAGACTTGTTACTTACTGGCAAAATGGTCGTGCCTCTTCATACATTTCGGCAAATCTCCAAAAAATATGTGTATATATCCAATTGTCACTGCAGTTTACAGCTGATAAATGAACACTAGTGGCAGTAAAACTAATACCAACAGCTTTTCTTCCCTGTCACACAAACCACAGTTTTCTTCACTTCCACACAGAGTATTGATTAATAAATGACTTAAGGCTTATTTCTGTGCGGTTTCTTGCACGTTACTATGATATGAGCACAAAACACTTACCAAAGTGCATGATTTGTAGGACTGTCAAACGATTAATCGCGATTAATCGCATCCAAAATAAAATTTTGTGTTTACCAAATATATGTGGGTGCACTGTGTATAATTATGTTGTATATAATATGTATAATACACACACATGCATGTATATTTAAGAAAATATTTTTTAGATATAAAATATTTATAGTTATATATAATATAAATTATATATAAATCTATACACAGTAGGCTATCTACATGAAAATATTTCTTAAATATATACAAGCATGTGTGTGTATATATATAAAATAATTATACACAGTGCACGCACATAAACTTTTATTTTGGATGCGATTAATCGTTTGACAGCCCTAATGATTTGTAAACTAATAAATATTGACATGTCCATCACATAATCCGCTCCATGTGCAAGAAGCGTGCAAGACATATCGCCACAGGCACAGGTGTGCAAAATGAGGTTGAGTAAATTTTACTAACTTTTTCCCTGAACTCGATTTGTCAAAACATGACTCTTTTGATTCCTAACAGAGGCATCCTCATTTCATGATTTATGATGTTTGATTGATTTTAGAGCTGGAGGCTTTGAGGTTTCTTCAGAGGTCAAAGCATTGTATGAATGTAATAACTAATAGTTATTCCAGCTGAATTGGACATAATTGCGGCTCTCTTGTGCTTTTATAGTTTAAGGGCTCTAATAGGGTTAT